AGACAGTAGTCTATGGATCGATTTACTAAACGAATGATGTGCAAATAGATACTAGATGATCAAAACAGCAGATGAACATCATGTGCGTCATCACAGCTTCCGAGGAATGAATCAATTACCTTAAAAACTATACCTGTGCTTCGAAGTGAAGATATTTCTCACAAATATACAATCTTAAACAGTATGAGCTTTTAAAGTATTCGCGAATCCATTTCTGTTCAGTTGAAGCTTGTTACTGTTGGACGACACGGACTACACTCAATCCTTTTACCACGTTTACAATTTAGTTGCCTCATCATTCCGTGTCCAAAGATTTTGGTTTCCAATTATCCAAAGATCAATGCAGATCCTGGTGATTATGGGGTCATTTTCCTATGCCCGGTGTCACAAAACTATTTTGCTCTTATCAGTCAACCGACAGGTTGATGGGTAATGCATAGCTGAATAGAAGTGGATAACGTTTAATTGAATAGTCCTAATCCTTTTTTACAGATACGTTTAACGGTAAGTTAGCAGTGGATCCAAATCCTAACATCGTCATTCTTTTTTGATTAAGAACGTGAAACCGGTAAATAATTGAATTTTCCCACTACAACTAAAGTTCATGTGCTCATCGGTCGTCATACTATGTTCACTTATTAGCGAGGATTCAGACCTTTTTGGAATAATGACAAGCTCTCATGAAGAAGAAAAATGGAACTGGAACTGGGGATTTCCAAAATCACAGCTTTCCGAAAACGCATACTTCATTCGATATCACTGCACCGTTTTGAATAAAAGTCTCACAAATGATTTCCACTTCAAAAGAAAGATTTTTGTTCTACATCCATGATGAATTAGCGGCAGTGCTTGAAAGATGTGGTATCTTTGATAATCAGATGAAGTTTATCATTGAATGTTCCGTCCAGATGATTTTATCACCACACTTTGTAATTGCCCCTTTTACATCATATTTTCACTAGCCAACAGTCTTGCTTCAATAAAAAAGATAAATTTTACCTTTATATAATGCAAATTTATCCATCCAGCTCCATATACTCTAGTGTGCAGTAGTACTCGCGGTTATCTCTAAAGCTTCTGTTCAGCTGGCGCCAAGCCTACATTTAGTGGCTTCCGACCATCCGGTTATACATTCAAGGAGCCATCAGTAAAGATCTATTTGTATGCAGCTTTTGGTCAACAAAGCATTTTATGCAACCGAATCTAATTGTTGGTCATGATTCTTTCCGGGTTATCTCCCAGTCAATTGAGTTTGCGTGTAATGCCCTAAAACACCCATCGATGACGACCTCACAAAGCTGTATAATATGTTCACCCACTACAGCCAGAGAGTTTTCTTGAAGTGATTGTTGTAACGGATTAAGTGAGTCCTAAACCGAGTTAGATAAAACCATATGGAGACAAACAAATGAAGAAATAGATGTAATAAACAGAAATTATGTACATCATTTTCCAGGTTGAACGCAAACTCATATTTCAGTTATAAATATTGTAAGCTTAGCAGCGATTGGCAGATGTCGGTTAACTATATGTTAGTTTTCGGTTGACTGTGCTGTTACTACTCGCTGGTACATTAGACTTTTATTCGTTTTTTCTATGTTCTCGAACCGTTCTTATCCTACTGAAATATTTGTACAAATAAAAGATAACTCTTCGACTTTTGTTTTATCCATTCCTCATGATGGCGCATAAACCAAATGTTTTAGCTACAGTATGAAACAACCCTATACACAAATGTGAAGTTGGCTGATTCCTTATTGGTCGTGGGTGATATTCATACCGGAAACCTGGTTGAACGAAAAGGTAGAGTACTTTCTGATTTACATGCCGGGGTATTGAGAGTGTTCAGCAAGGTAGAGAAAGGAGCGTGGATAAAACTGAAAGCAAGACACTAACGTACATTAACTGCACTTGGTGTGGCAAAATCTAAACTTTGATCTCCTTTAATGGTAATAACTATTTCTGTGTTTTATGTTGATTCAGATTCCCCGTCTTTTGAGGAGCGATCATTCCTGATCTTTTCATTGCTCATAACCAAATATCAGCCTGTTTTACCATACATTTATTCCTTTCATTCATCCCCTGATAACCAAAAATTAAGTTTAATTGTTAGTGACTTTGTTCGTGAAGCACCTGAGCCTTCACTAACGTTTGGCTTGACATGCCTCTCAGTAACTCGCAGCAGAGACTGTGCTGCATTGTTTTAAACCCATTACTAGCCGTAATATTTTCTCATTCAAACCGAAGACTTCGATCTCCATTAGTAACCTTTGTGCCCTGTATATAAGCCTGGAAGTTTATTCTTGGTAGGCTTACTCCACTCTCCTTCAGACAAAAAAAACGGAAACCTTTGAAATCTCCCCACTGAAATGATCACTCTGTTGAAAATATCCTTCGCTATAACCCCGTTGGCGTTTTTCTTTCAACAATTCCTCAGTTTCTGACAGTGAAAGCAATTTTCAGCTTATACCGTGTTGTGGAGGTACTTTTCGTTCATGCTGAAAGTGCATGACCTCCGTTGTTAAGAGTGCTAAACCAACTGAAGGAACAAACGTACGAATTACAGCAAACGACCCATGTCAAATAGCTTTCCTTGATTTGTTCGGAATGGAAGGCGTCTGTGACAAGAAGTCAGACAGTCATGCGGATAGAGCGAACGGTCAACAAACAAATCTATTGATGCGGACAGCATTAGAGCTACATTCATTTATCCTTTTGACCATTTTCTGCCTTCGTTCTCCGCGGAGTGTTTGTCTACTATTGATCCATTTTCCCAATAGAAAGTATGCGATCTTCTTAGACCCACGAAAACGATGAATACGGTAGACCCATAGTGTCTGTCCTCGACTTTGCTCAAACCAATAGAGATTTTCACTTACCTTGATATTCAAACTAGACATGAACGCTTAAGTTGGAAGACAACCACCACAAGGGGAATTCCTTTGAATACTCCCAGCAGTCACTTGCATCAGATGTCAAGTAAAATTCACACGACGAAACCTACTATGAAATATGAAATGAATTCAGAAACCTAATACAAACCAAGATTTAAGAAACCTAGTTCAGTATTTTGGGGTATGACGCTGTTGGTTACAATCAAGGTAGACCAAGGGTAAAAGTCATTTACTTCTGGGCACACAAGATAGGTTTTCCGTGAGCAATCGATGATTTCCCGAGTATCCTTACTCGATTGTTTGTCACACGAAGCAGTCTCATGGAGAATGCATTCGTATGGTCTGCTTTGTGACGACTACCGATCGATGGCTGAGGTTGTTCTTGATGGATAGATTGCATCATTGGTTCACGCACACACTGAGTTCACAATGATTCACATTGGTCTTCCCAGTGTTCCCAAAAATCTGTTGATTGTAGCTTCATTGATTGATCTTCAAACTTCGATTTTGTTCCACAATCTCTTCTTCTTCAAACACCACAGACATTTCGTTGGTTCATCACGTTATTTCTAAAGCTGGAAGACCATTTCAGGAATTCAATAAAAAGGGAAAAACGAATTGTTTCAAAAACGTTATTCAATAATTCGGTTCTTTCAAGGCGCTTCACCTATACATCTCGAAATTTATCAGTAACGTATTCTGTATCCCTTTAACCAGGGTTATTAAGCATGTTGATGATTGGGCTCCATGTCTAACATGATGTCACTTTCTGACAGTTCATCACAATGGCAAACAAGGTCAGATCACTCTAATCTTAATGTCAGCGTGTCAAATGCATCTCCACTCTTTTGCAATCTGTGTACCCAATGTAACCCACGATCATCACCTCATTGCCCACAACTAATACATAGATCAATGATTCAACAGGATTAACCATAACAAGAAGAATCTACAGTCGTCCTCTCATGCTTAAACTACATTGATTACCCTTCATGATGCTCAATCTGAAGCAACTTAGAGTTAAACATTGAACTATGCGTTATTTTGTTTTTCTATGTGTTTTTCCTCTCATAGTTTACTGTTCTGTAGTGACTTTCCTAGTTTAGTTAAAAGGATTTCGTTGCCGCCCACCACTGCTAGACAATTAATAGCCGTGTTTTTCTGATACCCACGGATATTCTTTTCGTAAAATAGCGTGATCTTCATACCACCCAATGTGAGAATTTCGCCTTTTGGATTCCTGAAGACCTCAACCATCCTCTCAATCCCGATTTATTCACATAACACTTCCGTCCCACAACCCGATCCAGTTTCCACTGCGTGGCACCTTGCATAAAAATTTACCGTTGTTCGGCAGCGACTCAATCGGATCACATTCTAATTACCAGGAAAGTGTTATATAAATGTATCGCTCATCTAAACAGATGATCCTCTTTATATTTGATTGTTATCATTGTTATTTACGAAGCGTTCATCTTTTTTATTTCAGTTTAACGATGAATATATATTTTTGGACTGAACTGTATGCATCGACGCCTGCACAAGTTCTTACTGTAAAACATAACTGTAGTTGTGGAGATCGAAACTACTCATCATATGCCTACTTCTAGGACAGTTCAGATGGAAAACAGAGTAAAGTTGTACGTAATTGTGAATGAATGACTTGTGATCTACAACTCTCTCACACAGTTGATCCTGTTATCGTGTTCTTTTGTCAGATTTACACCATCCCTTTTCAAAATTCATTTATAACGGATGAGTAAATAAATATGTGTTACATTTCATACTCATTTAGTTAGTTTGTGTATTTATTTCATGCGTAGCACCAACACGCACCACGTAAGTTAACGAATGATGAACTTGCACGGGTGAACAATCCGCCCATCCGCGAATCCGGTTGCTTGTATTCGTAGCCCGCCCTCTCTGTATTA